GGTCCGCGAGCCCGTGGGCGGCGGATTAGCTCCCGCTGAAACCCTCAGATCTGCCCGAGCGCCCGCTGCTTTTTTAGAACAGGAGGCAACTGGGGTGGCTCGCTCTCTTGCGAAAGTTAGCCGCGATCTTAGCTGTGCAACGGTCATGGCATCGCAATGACGACATGAACCGCCCGCGAGCACCGCATTAACATGCTGGACCCCCAAACATGCAATGCAGTGATCGTGTCCATCATCCGGAGACAGGAAACCCCCGCATCCAGAAACGCACAGTCGGAGCGCCATCCTGAAAAGGACGTGCTGCACGACTGTGTTGCTCTTTTAGGAAAGTTGCAACTATACGCACCGCTCTGGAGGACCGGACCCAAAGAACCGCAGGCAAGGGAGTAACCCAGCTCGACCGTCTGCCACCGCGAAGACCCACTCTGGACCGGGAGACACACTCGTTCGCTCTGAAGTGCTGATCAGCAAGAGGAACCCTCATCGACTCACTCAGAAAGGATCTGAAGCGAAAAGGATGGCGTCTGCTGGCTTCAGGTGTGCTTATATGCTGAGATGATTGCAGATGTCGCACACCTGCGCAAGCTTACGCTGCCAATTAATTTCATTCATTGGCCCGTTCAATACTCTCCAGATAAGCGGCTTCTGATCCGAATCCTCCCATTCATGGCACTGAAGTTCCCCAACCGAAGGGGAACATAACTGTTTTTGTTCTTCTTACTACTAAAACTGATACTAGTACTACTACTACTAATAATGTTTAGAAAAATATCTAAAAAGAAAATCAGCAAAGTTTAATGACTGCCGAAAGACAAGACTGGAGTATTGATTTCGAAAAAAAAAAAAAAAATAAAAATAAATAATAATAATAATAATAATAATATATATATATATATATATATATATATATATATATATATATATATATATATATATATATATATATATATATATGTATATATAAATATATACACACACACACACACACACACACACACACACACACACACACACACACACACACACACACACACATATATATACATATACATATATATATATATATATATATATATATATATATATATATATATATATATATATATATACACACACACACACATATATATATATACACACACGCACGCACGCACACACACAATACATTTTTACTGTATTTTAAATTAAATAAATGGAGCTTTGATGAACATTTTTACTTTTAATGGTAATGCTGTTGATTCAACTTCTTGCTTAAATGACAAATAACCAATCTGTAAGTGTCTGGAAGTGGTGTTTAAGCATGCACAAACACTGTCACATTACTAAAAGCAGTGATCCCTGACCCATAAGAGTTCTTATGTCCATTAACAGCTATCCTAAAAGCCTAGTCCTCCAATCCAGGCACTTACAGAGTAATCTGTGCTGCTGAAACGATAAACCCACACCTCCAGGGCTTGAAGTAGAAACTGACTTTCATAACCCCTGGCACTTGCAACCAGTGACAAAACTCTTGCTTGCTATTCAAACAAAGAAGTTCAGATTTGAACAAGAGAAAAAAGAGAAAGTCTTAAGACACTGAGCAGTCATGCTTCAGATTACTCAATCTACATTTCAAAACCTACTCTCTTAAAGAAAAAAAAACAAGTTGAACCTGCCTGGAACAACCCAGAAACCCAATTCTACTACATGCTCCTCTTAACAAACACACGCTGTAGCTAGTAATACAGGAATGTGTTGTTGTATTTGTTGAGGAAATTCTTTCATGAGTACCTGTTCAGCCTGAGTAAGTACAGATGAATGTATTATGCATTCGGTATTCACAAAACCACACCGGTTTGTATCAGATTGCATTTAAAAACTTCTGGATTAGTCTTTTATATGGAAGTCTTTAGAGGGAGCTCAGAAGAAAGCAAAAGAGTAACACATGGTCTTTTAGGACTTACATAAATTAAAATAGTATACTGAATGTTATAATCTGTGGTAAAAATAAGAATTAATCACTTTTTATTGTTTCAGTTTGCAATGAAATGGGATAACAAAACAGGACATTCAGACTTCCCAGTTTGACAGATTTTTCTTGCAAAATCAAATGGATATGACGAAAAGTGATTTATAAATACAAAGGCTTACATATAGCTATATTAACTTGATTTAAATAGAATAAAATAATTTCCAAAAAAAGTAGAAATGTTACCATAAAATAGAAATGTTTGAAAGACATTGAGCTCTGACTGGTTTAAAAACATAAACTTCTGGTTTAAAGAACAGCCCACAATGCAGCTTGTGAATTTACTTCAGGAAATGGTCTAACATCTAGGCAAAGAGTGGAAAGCTAAAATAAAATGTGTGTGCGTGTGTCTGTGTATGTGTGTGTATATATATATATATATATATATATATATATATATATATATATATATATATATATATATATATATATATATATATATATATATATATATAAAGAGTTTAGATACAAAAACATCTAAGTGCTATCTTAAATATGAGCAACTTTCTCAGGCTCCTGGGCTTATAGGTTTAGTAATTTCACTTTTATGGAAAACAATTGGTTCTTTTCATTTAATCTGAAGTAAAATAACTGATTACAAACCTAGAAGGCTAAGAAAAAATGCTAATTTTAGATGAAAATTTCAAATGGCACTTAAAGTTTCAGAATTAGGGATTTCCAGATCCAATCACGTGATTGGAAATCGGGGCTGACCATGCGGTTTGAGACTCGATCAAAATCGCACGTTTCCCGATCAGTACTCGAATAGTAAATATAGTTGAATTCAGAATTATTAGCTCCCCTGAACTATTAGCCCTCCTGTTTATTTTTTTCCCAATTTCTGTTTAACAGAGAGAAGATTTTTTTAAACACATTTATAAACACAACAATTTTAATAACTCATTTCTAATAACTGATTTATTTTATCTTATCTTTGCCATGATGACAGTAAATAATATTTGACTAGATATTTTTCAAAAAACTTCAATACAGCTTAAAGTGACATTTAAAGGTATAACTAGGTTAATTAAATTAAATAGGCAGGTTAGGGTAATTAAGCAAGTTATTGTATAATGATGGTTTGTTCTGTATAATGTAAAAATATAGCTTAAAGGGGACTAATACATTTGACCTTAAAATGTTTTTTTTTTTTTTTTTTTTATAAAAACTGCTTTTATTCTAGCCGAAATAAAACAAGTAAGATTTTGTCCAGAAGAAAAAATATTATCAGACATACTGTGAAAATTTCTTTGCTATGTTGAACGTCATTTGGGAAATATTAAAAAAAGAAAAAATATTCAAAGGGGGGCTAATAATTTTGACTTCAACTGTACATATTGTCATTATTTTTTAACACATTTTCAGACAGAAACGCATGTGGCATGACATCACTTTGTTGCAGATATGCTATTGGTTAAATGCTGGCAAAGTAGAACACAAAAGCAGCTTTGTCTGCAGTCTGAAGGTATTGTTGATGATGACAACATTACCATAACAAATTGTGAGATGAGTAAACTTGGAATTGCCTGCCAGTTTTTTTAATTTGAGGTGCTATTTGTTTTTACAGTATAATAGATTTACTGTTGCACTGAAGTCCAAAATTTATGTTATTTGTTACTTGATTTTTTAAGCTACCTTGCAGAAGTGCTCTGTTTGTTAACAAAGTTGTTAAATGTTAAAATAAGGTAATTTAAATAAAAAATAAGGAACATCCTGGATCTGTTTCTTCACTCTTCTTTATTCTATATGTATTTTAAAAGTATCAGATTGGGTTTTAGTATAGGTAGATATTCAAACTCAAATGACTCGAGGGCAAAAAAAAACAAAAAACAGATCAGAACATTTTTATTCTGAGCTCTTCATATATATTCTGTATGTATAGTGACATTTTTTGATTAATATTTTAAAACTGTTCATTTTTTTCCGAGTTTTGATGCCTAATGTTGTATACAGTTTAGAAAAAAAGGTAAAAGTAGAAGTTATATAGAGTTGAAGTCAGAATTATTAGCCCCTCTAAATTATTAGAGCTCCTGTTTATTTTTGTTTCCCAATTTCTGTTGAACAGAGTTTTCAACACATTTCTTAACATAATAGTTTTAATAACTCATTTCTAATTTTGTCCTTAAAACAGTGTTTAAAAAAATTAATAACTGCTTTTATTCTAGCCGAAATATAACAAATAAAACTTTGTCCAGAAGAAAAAATACATACTGTGATAATGTCCTTGCTCTGTTTAACATAGTTTGGGAAATATATAAAAAAAAAAAAAAAAAAAAAAAAAAAAAAAAAAACAAAGGGGGGCTAATAATTCTGACTTCAACTGTATATATATATATATTGAAAAATTTTTATGTGATAAAATGTGACTGTCATTTTATTTTTTATAAAAAAAATGTTCCAAAACCACAGGTTTACTTGCAGGCCTTTTTCCAACTCTGACTAAAAGGCTGATTTTCCATGGCCTTAATTGAAAACAGGGCATATTATTTTTTGCAAAATATTCAAATAGTTTGATCTTGAATATATTCAATATATATATTCATATGTTATATAAATTTAATTGCTATTTTAAAAGCAACAATGGATATTTAACCCAAACTTTAAAATGAAAAAAAAAAAAAAAACACAAGTACCCAGTCTTTGAAGTGGTCAATTTGGTCAACAATAGGCAAATTGTAAGGAAAATATCATAAACGTGAAATGAAATTAAGAAATTATGAATATAATTCCAAAAAATAATTTTAAGAAACTAAAATTTAAAAATGAAAAACAAACCTTTCAGATATTCCATGTATGTAAAAAAAACAACAACTGACTTTCAATGTCTGGAAAAGACCTTTTAAAATTCCATGACATTCGAGAACTTGCATGACTTGAGGGAATGTGTGTTTCTTGTGTGTCACATGTTATTTTACAATCTGAATAACATGTTATTCAATTATTTTCTGTAAAGGAAGGACAGGCCAAAATGGATATTACAACAGAAACTTACTGCAAGTCCCGGTATATAGTCTTTGAAAACACATAGAGGGACTTCCATCCTCCGGAACCCACGTAGAAAATGAGAATGGACGGTAGAACCTGCCACCAAGGTAAGCCGATGAACAGCCGGAGAACAAAGAGAAGGGCCGTGGCACACGCCAACCGCAACATCCTAACACACAAACAACACACCCGTCAATCATTCGTTTCACCACTTGACTATTGCATTAACATTTTTTTTGGACCTGTGTGATAGAAGTCTAAAAACACCTTGTTCAATGATAAAAGTTATAATGTAATCACTATCAACCTGACAATTAGAAAAGGTTGAAAGATTCAAAGATGAACTCAAGATAAGCTTCTTAATCATATCAAGAACAGATAGCTGTCATAGAAATCTTTGTCCTTTGAAATGTATGTTAAAGGTCTAGGCCTCAGTATTGAAATGTTCTATGGGAAAAGTCTGTTTTTTTTATTAATACTGACACTTTTACATTTGAACTTATGGCTGAGAGATTTGACAGAGATCTTATATTGCGATAGAAGTCATCTTATATCCTGGTTAGGCCTGTCAGATGGATGGGATGTCAAAAAAATCTTAAAACGAAAAATTAATTTTTGTGAAATAAAAATAAATTTGAGGAATAAAATTTTAAAAAGTGCAAAGAGAAAATTAAGTTTTGAGAAATAAAAAAGAAACTTGAGAAACAAAAAAAGAAGTGCAAATAAAACTCAAGCAGTAAAAAAAACAACAACCCATTAGTAATTTTAAAAAGTATATATACAAGTATATATACTTAATCTTTGCCATAAAAGTTATGTTACTGTACATACACACGCATGGCTGATAAAAGTGCTCATTTTAGAAGAAATTTTCAGATTCAGGCATTTAGAGGTTTTTACATCTGAACTCTTCACGCACGCACGCACGCACGCACCCACACACGTTTTCGCCTTTACAAAACCCGTCCAGTCAATTGAAACGCTCATTTTGATTTGTTTTTTTTAGAAAACCGTGAGTTTGCGATGCTGTTTTCACTTTGCACTTCATGTTTCTGCATGTTTCACTTTGTGGCCCTGATTTGACAAGGGGGCAGAATAAAGAGAACATTAGCGTTTAATGCAGGCCCTTTTGTAAAAGCAATTCTATAAAAAATGTTTTGTATATACACTATATAGTTTATTTATTTATTTTTGCACATATGTATATATATATATATATATATATATATATATATATATATATATATATATATATATATATATATATATATAATTTTATTTTTTATAATTTTTTTACAGCTTTTTTAGTAGTTCTTTTTTTGTTTGCAAATTTATTTTTCATTCATCAAAACTTTAATTTCCCTCTGCAGTTATTTATTTCTCAAAAATGAATTTTTGCTTTGCAGTTTTTGGAGATTTACATTTATTTTTTTCCTCAATACTTTATTTTTTTGCAAATTTTTCTTTTATTTTGCAAGTACATATGGCCCTAGATTGACTCCATACTGTCCCAATATCTTTTTTTAGTTTAATGGTATATTGCACCAAAATATATTGTGATAAATGATATTATTGTCATTTTAAGACCATTTTATGACACTCATTATATTATGCCAGAATGACATAATGATAGTATCATAATGCAAGTACACTCTTCCAAAAAACACAGCATATTTTATTCTTAAGAACACTTTATTTAATTATAGTCATTTAATTAATTTTTTAATTAGGCACTGGAATCAGAATGTGAAAACGCATGTCCTAAACAATCAAACAAACAAACAAACAAATAAATAAATAAATATTAACAAAAAAGTGCAATGTAAAATAGTTACAAAATAGACTGCGATATCTGGTACCAGATCTACTTTTAGTCGTCAGACACCCACATGATGAAATATACTATAGTAATTTATAGTAAATACTCTAGTTTTTGTTAACATGCTGACACTGATACCTTCAACAGAGATAGAGATGTTGCAAATATGTTGCTGATACTGGATTTTAAGTATGGGCCATATATATTGCATCACCAAAAATGATTGAGGTCAAGTCTACGTGTTGAGCAACAAGCTGATATAATGATTATTGTGACAGGTCTAATCCTGATAACAACATATCACAAAATAGTATCATTTGTGTAAATTTAATTAATAAGTTTATATACATTGATCACATGTAAAAAAACAAAAAGTATATATGCAGATAGTTACTCATTCATATGTGATCATATGTACAGTAGACATCCCTGTAATGGTGTGTATTGTGCTTATATAAATTATGAAAGTATTAACATAAACAATGTATTTTGTGACACCACAGCATAATATGAAATAGACATTATTATTTTGTCCATATGATGTATATCGTCATATTGCACAGCCTTACTTGAAGTTAAATCCTGCTGCTATAAAACAATTTTATTTTATATTTTATTAAAAGTGCAGCACGGTGGCTCAGTGGTTAGCTGTTGCCATACAGCAAGGTCAATAGTTCGAGTCCCGACTGGGCATTTCTGTGTGGAGTTTGCATGTTTTCCCCCTGTTGGCATGGGTTTCATCCAGGATCAAAAGAAGAAACTAGTGTACGAGTGTGTACATGAATGAGTGTTTCTGGGTGTTTCTCAGTACTGGGTTGTGGCTGGAAGGGCATCTGCTGTGTAAAACATATGCTGGAATAGTTGACGGTTCATTTCACTGTGGCGACCCCTGATAAACAAGGGACTAGGTCGAAGAAAAATGAATGTATAAATGAATGAATATAATTAATATAATGTTATAATTATGCATTATTATTAAGGATAACACTTTATTTATGCACATCTGTCTCACAATAATATTAATGATTAATATAATATGAATAATATAAATGAATAAAAGTGAACAAATGCAGACAATATTTTCTTTTAAATCATTTAAGAGTTAAGTATTCACTTTGTATTATCCAAATTAGGGTTGTAACGGTATGAATTTTTTACGGTATGATAATCGTCTAAAACAATACCACGGTTTGACGGTTTCGCGGTATACGGTATTAAATAGTAATTCTCATAGCAAAGACCCTGAAAAGAATAAGAACACGTTTTCTGACTGAACAAAGGTTTTATTTCAACAAACTTTTAAAAGAACCATTTTAATAGAACTATAGAAATCTTTTATAAAAATAAACTGAAAAATCTCCCATTTTAATAAATTAAATTAGAAGGAATAAACAAGCAAGGTCTTTTAAGATTAGACAAAAATAAACTTAAACTGTCCTTCCTTATAAGCAGGATAAATGGGAGACCAAAAGTGCAATACCAAGTTTATGGCTGTAAACATGTATTTAAAGCGTGATTTCAGAAAAAAAAAAAAACTTCTTTGATTTTCTACTTAATAATAATAATAATAATAATAAAAATAATCTACAATATATCTTGGATGCACTGAGTGTGAGTAAATAAACCTCATGAAGTAAAGTGAATTTTACTTTTAAAATGATTCATTAAAAGCCACTGTAGCGTTTCTAGGCCTCCTTTGCACTAAAACACTTGTAAAGTAACTAGGGTAGATTGAATGTCAGTGACCGAAGGTAACAGAGCTATCTGATCTGTACTATGGTTTCCGTCAGCTCATCTGAACGCAGTAGAAGCTTACACTTGCTAAATTACACCAGTCATTCTTGCTCTCTCTTGTGTTGCCTATATGAAGGAGAATGAGCCGAGCTGTCACTTTAAAATAATTATTTAATTTGCAGTCTTCTATTGCAATATATTGAAGTGATCTACATTTGTATTCTAACATTAAGTCACACTATAGGGCTGGGCGATTAATCGAAAAGTAATTGAATTCGAAATTCACAATCTATAATCGTTTAAAATTTTCCGGGTCATTTATTTCAATTACTTTCCCTACCGCATGGAGTCACGTGACCTGGCTCTGTTTACACTTCTGCGTTGAGTGAAGCCTTCACGTGATCGCTTACCCCTCATGTGACTGACGGCAACCTTCTCAAATAAATGTAACTACATGTTGCGAAGATGTATGGCGCAAGCTCTGTGATCGGTCAGCTTGGTAACAATGACGAGTATGGGCCACGCAGCAAGGGCAAAAAAATAAAATCTAAAATAAATTTTAAAATCATTAATCATAATTGAGTTAAAATTATATTAATCGAAATAATTAATCTCGATTAATAACATTAATCGAGAGTATTAATCTTATATTTTGATTTTAGGCCAAATCGCCCAGCCCTAAATGGCCAAAACCATAATCGTACAAACAAATTATGGCAATAGACTATTGAAAAATTATTCATTGGATTTACTTTAAGGTAAGTGGTTGCAAACAATTTATATGGGCTGAATTTAAACAAACAAATTAAATTTAGTAATGTTCAACTCAATTTATTTGTTTAAAAAAAAAAAGTTAATCCAATAAAAAAAATAAATTTCAGTGCACATAAATAATCCATAATACTCTGCAAAATACAATTAAGCCTGGTTATTAACCATACGTTTAGGACTTTTTTATTTGAATTGTATGAATCTGAATATATTTATTTTTGAAGTATTCACATTTTGTTTTACAAACTTTAAGGTGATTTTAAACAGCACAGAAAATCTTAAAATCACAAAGTCGTTAAAAGTGCAATTAAATTATCCATAGTATTTTATTTTCTGGTTTAAATATATAAACATTCAAGACATTCACTTGAGATTAGGGCTGCACAACATATCGTTTCAGCATCGATATCGCAATGTGTGCATCCGCAATAGTCACATGGCACGATCTTCAATATTGAGTTGGGATTATGTTGTAATTTATTATAATCAATGCACGGCGATGTGAGGGTGCAGTGGGTAGCATGTTCGCCTCACAGCAAAAAGGTCACTGGTTCGAGCCTCGGCTGGGTCAGTTAGCATTTCTGTGTGGAGTTTGAATGTTCTCCCTGCGTTTGTGTGGGTTTATTACGGGTGCTCCAGTTTCCCCCACAGTCCAAAGACATGCGGTACAGGTGACTTGGGTAGGCTAGATTGTCTGTAGTGTATGAGTGTGAATGTGTGTGTGTGGATGTTTCCTAGAAATGGGTTGCAGCTGGAACAGCATCCGGTGCGTAAAAACGTGCTGGATAAGTTGGCGGTTCATTCCGCGGTGGCGACCCCGAATTAATAAAGGGACTAAGCCGAAATGAAAATGAATTAATGAAAAATCAATGCAGAGTTGAATTATAATGAAGTAAAATGTTAGTTCACCCAAAAGTTTTACTTTACTCACTATTTCAAATGTTTATGAGTTTCTTTTTTATGATGAACACAAAAAGAAGATATTTTAATAACTCAAACATTTAAAACATCACTACCTGAATACTGTTACTGTCCAGAAAACTATAATTCACTTTTTTATCTTTGCTATATTTTATTTATCTATGCTTGTAATTTATTTGTTTTATATGGCAATGTCAGATTTTTCCAATATCGTGCAGCCCTACTTGAGATTCAAAATTAACTAAAAAAAAAAAAAACTATGCTTAAAATAAGAATAAATATCTGTCAATGTGGTTTTAAAAATACATTTTCTGTTGAATCAAGTTGATTTTTGAGCGCACTGTGAAATATTTGTTTGGATTTTAGCAATGAGCTTTCTTCATTTTGAACAATTTCACATAAAATAAGACATTGTGTCTCACATAATCTTTCAAGACAAATTTATTGATTTAAGAATCTTTTGAAATAAAAACAAGATAAAATAGGGAAAAAATGTGATAAACTAATAAAAAAGGTGTGATAAACGTTATTTCCATATTATATCTTGCATTTGGCAGCTGACTTATTAAAAACTTTGATTGACTAAAGACAAAACAAAAGATTGTAACAAAACTGAATATTAAATCTATAAGCATTTCGAAAAATTATTCATTAAATTCTCGCAATTTGGTCATACACATTTATTAGAACTTTGGTGTTCTTATCTATTACACAAAATTGACATATATTAATATGATGATGATGATTATTATTATTATTATATTAATAGTCTTATTGTGACATTTTACCTTATATGTATCAACACTTCAATAAACTGTGTTTGAGTGGAAATATACCAAAGGTTAAATAATAACTGACAACAGAGGTAAAAGGCCACTGGTGTAAAAATGTGGCAACTAGTCCCGGTCAAATGAACAGATACGTAAACAATCCGCCGTTTCACACTTTCTCAATCTATTGACGGACAGAAATGACGGCCATACGTCATCATCCTCATCATCATCGTACTTTTCGCTGCAGCTGGGAAATCCTACAGTGTGCGACGCGTCTATATGTGTCCTGAAAGATGTTGAGGAGAATTTAAATGTCTGTTCAGACCTTTAACCGCATGACGACGCGAGACAAAATGATGACAGACGTGCTGTGGGTGCGGATGGATATTAAAGCAATGCAGAAGCCAGCATCATCCTATTCATCTTCCACCTCATCATCATCATCATCATCAGGCGAGGGTTACCGCAGAGACCTGATTTGTTGCTCAAGCCCGGAAATCTGAGAGCACATTGGATGTACGGCACTGTTGGGACTCGTGTGCGCGACTCGGCTCATTCGAGCACTTAAGATTCAGTACTCTGATTCAGTGATTCATATGTGCCATCACGCGGTGGCAGCATTACATGTTGATGTTTTGAACCCGATTATGCTTTATTGACAATAAGTAATTATACAACGTTTATTTCCTCAGACGAAGATATTTCAGCACAATTTGTAAAGACAACGTTAGTTTTATCTGAAGTACAGTGCTTAGCATAATGGAGTACACCCAATTTTGAAAATGTATATTTGTATCCATTTCTTAGTGAATATATGCAAAGCATTTTGGTGCATTAATCAAAACAGATTTATTAAACAGATATACATATTAAAATAATGTTTTATTCACCAAACATATTCACAAATGAAAACATACTACAATTAAACTAAAGCAAAAAAAAAAAAAAATAAATAAAAAAAAACAAACTACAACATTTTTAAAGTTTTTTTGCTTCTCTTGAATTTTGCTCTTTTTTTTATAATTGTATTTAATATTTTTCTATAACATTGTACATTTGGTTGTACTAGTTTTTTGACCGTTATCATAAGTTATTTTGTTAGATAAACTCCAGATTTGGCTTCCGTACTGACTAAACTAAAGTATATGTACAAATATATAATTGTAAAGCTTCATATTAAAAATGTGAATTTAAAACAGATTTGTGAGGGGTGTACTGAGCACTTTATATTTGATATAGTGCATTAATGCCTACCCACTTTTTTTCAGCAGTATTTTTTTTTTCTAAATATTTAAAAGGTTTTTGATACAGCATCAAAAACTATGGAACAACCCAATTAGGTATGAGGTGAATAAAGTGAATTACAATATTACAAACATTGTTTTTTTTTTTTTTACAATAAAAAAGTGATGAAAATTAGACCAAAATAGATTTTATGATAGAAAGCTGCAAATGACACAATAAAATTAAATATAACGCAGAAATATTACATTAATCGCTTAACGATTTTGGTTGCATGTATAGAAATATTACACAAGGCTAAATGCTAAAGATTTTTTTTCGAACATCCCAGTTAAAAAAGACTTTCATTTGCCCTATCAAAAAATAATTAAAATTAAATACATTCAATATTACAATAATAATAATTTAGTTTGAATATTTCTTTTTGTAATTTCTAAATAAATCCATTCACAAACTCTATAACCCTTACCAAGAATAGAACAAAACATAGCTGTCTGTTACTTCAGTCTACAATAATAATGATTTATTAATAATAATATAGGTCAGGTCAGTATCATCATAAGTAAATAAATGTAGAACTTTTAAGCAAATGTTAATTAAAAGCTTTTTTTAAATAAAAAGTTTAAAGCTATATCGAGATGAATTGCTGTCGATTGTATGGGTGTAAATGGCCAGAGTGGGTTGCTATACATGAACACAGAAAAATTAAGACCTGTTGAAAAAATATGTAAGACCTACAACACGTCAGTAGATTTAAGACTTTTTAAAGCCTAAAATTTAGCTTTTAGAGATTTAAGACATTTTAAGACCCTGTAGACACCCTGTTCAGAGACCTAAAAGTTAACGTTAGCCTATTTTCTGGTAATTGGGAGTTTAACATATTCAGAAATGTTTCCCAGCTCATTGCGCCTAAGAGTTCAGGATTCAGGTCGATTTGTGAACGAATCCATTCGCTTTAATGACTCGGTTGAAAAGATCCGACTCAAAAGAATGCTTCGCTCGCGAATCGGACATCACTACAGCAATGCAGTACACTGAGCTTCACTCTACTGTTACAATCACAAAACACGTTGTATGAAATTCAACTCGTACAGTCAGGCAATCAATTATATTATGCGTTTATACGATCGGTTATATTTGCTATGCGTGTTTCATACTGAAAAGGCCAGTGCGCATGAATGACATCCTATTTCCCTTTAGCTGGATTATGAGCAATTACACTGCTACACATGACACGGCATCCATCGGCAAACATAAGCAGAACACAATGCATATTGACGCTATAGTAAAATCAGTAAATTCATCTTTAACAAGCAGCTGACAGCTCGCTATCATGACGATTAATGATACAGGAGATTCCGGAAATGACTAATGGCTAAAATATTTGAAATGTTGGTGTTTGTGGTCCGGGAAATACCTCGATTTTGGTCTTCGCTGTCACAATAACGTGTGTATTATGGCAGAAGGGGAACCTGTTCCGTACGATCCCACCTTGATCGGCTTAAGCGAAACCTCCACCGTTTACCTGCGCTGATACACACGCGCCGGTGTGTAACGGCCACTCGCCCGCCTTTTACCTATTTCCGCGGCTCCTATGGTAGACTTTGCTCCCGTTTATTTCATTTTTTCACTCTTATCTGTTATCGCTTCATTGTGGGGATAGCTTGTAGCGCTGGTAATTCCAATGACCTTATAATTTTCTTACTTGCGCCCGCCTCCTCGCTATTCGCCGGTGCTGTGTGTACACATTGAATGACAGCGGTTTAAACCAATCGTGCTCTCAGAGCGCAGCCTTTTCGCTGTTGAAAGGCGGGGCTTAAAGTCCTGTCAAGGAAATGTGGCCCAGCCAGCGAATCATCACGACAGTTTCCACCCGGTAGTTGCAAAGCAGCTCTGCGGGACCATGAGGCATGATGGAGGAGGAGAACGAGAGCTATTGTCAGACATCTGTCCATCTGCAAGCCATTGTACTGGCAAAGACAGCTGTTTGTGAAAATTAAAAGAACGTAATGCACATGATAATACTAATGTTTAAGGAGACAGGATTTTTACTGAAATATATAGCAAAAGGACACGAGACTGTTGGTTTCATTCAAAATGCATGAATTGCAAACATTTCTATTTTAGTTTGAAGTATGTATTTTTATTTCTGTGAAATTATTTTGACTATACTCCTGATTGCATGTAGCATTCGATACAAGTTAATTCACAAAAACAAACTGTGTATAATCGCTTATCTAAATGTAGCTCCTAAAACAACTTACCTATGTAGCTGACGTCACAAACCCCATTTATTTTTTAGCCCCCTCCTAATAGTTTGCATTTTAATGTTAACATGATTTGCCTAACAAATTACTTTCCACTGTGTTTCTTTGTACTGGTCACAACATTCATATATTTCTTTTAGAATGGTCGATGAAAATCATGTGAGATAACAGTAACAAAAATTGATTTCATGTGGTATAAACACTTCACTGTGGATATCATGTTAGACAGCACCAGTGGTGGAAAGTCATGAAAAATCGTACTCAAGTAAAAGTATAATTACTTACTTAATAATGTAGTGCAAGTAGAGTAAAAGTATCTGCTGTAACTATTACTCAACGTATGAGTAAAAAGTAGCCCTTTAAGAAGTATTACACTGTGAAAAGGTGATGTTTTTACATGCAATTTATGCATGTGTGTGTGTAAACGTAACATTTTGTAGTGCATTGAGATACTGTTTAAGAGTATTTGACGATTTCAGTCATTGTACAGTAAACATTCGCCACCATCAATGACATTCAGTTTAAACAGTCATTGCGTGTAAAGATTTTGGACATCATCTTCCTGGATACTTTCCAAACATATCTTCAAATTGTTCATAATAATGAAAAATTATTATTATTTGATAGGACTGGAATCAAAGAATTGATTTAATAATTTGTTTATCCCCATAGACAAGAAAAAAATTAAGTAATTACGCAGGTTGAAATAAAGTAGTGGAGTAAAAGTAGCGATATTGCACTAAAAGTGTATTCAAGGGAAAGTAAAAGTACACATTTTAAAACTACTTAGTAAATTACAAATCCTAAGAACAAAAAACTCAAGTACAGTAATTGGAGTATTTATAATTTGTTACTGGACAGCACAAATCAGTTTACAACTGTATAGTGATACGTACATTATCTACTATCAGCAAAGCAGATTTTTTTATCTATGCAATCCAAAAATATTGAGACACAGGCCATAATTTATCTATCATAACTAGCTTATGGTGTACTTAGTTCACCTTTAGCACAGCTGGGACAGCTACGCAACATAACACATTAAGCAACCTCACAAATACTGCTTAAATTTATTTAATTAACTTTCAAATAAATGCATTTATTGGTAAAACAAAAATAATAATAACAATAATAAAGCAGAATTTATGACACAGTACTCCCTAAAGGAACAGTTCACCCATAAATGAACCTTTCATCATTGTGCCAAATCTGACTTCCTTTCATTTGGAGAGCCCAAAATGAGACGTTTCGAAAAATGTTCATGTTGCTCTTTTCCTTACAACGCGAGCATCTTCAAAGCTACATGTCATCTCATTTTGGATTTCAAATCAAAATAAAAGGTAAGGAATTCATGACAGACATTGAATTTTTAAACAAACTGTTCCTCTAATTCACCAGATTTGGATGACAACACAATGGCCGTAGACACCGGTTCATACACAATAATCCTGAGTGCATGATAACACGTCAACACAATATGAGGAAAACGATGCTCAGAGAAAAATGTCAAACCAATTCTTATCACAGTGTTAACAAAAGACCTTTCTATTTCTTTGAAGGTTTGTATGTAAAATTAAATCAGAGTTATTTCAGACAGAAACTTCTTAATTAGGCTCATTCAGCCCAATAGCATGAAGAAAACACTGGTGTGTTCTGTATAAATACAAAGATATAACACTAACAGTATTATGAGGCCCTTCCAATATCTGTCAGTCATCCAACTCAAGGCCAAAGTGACTGTACAAGTCTCGTGTGGTCACTCCACGCAGGCCGGCTGTAGGAAACACAGAGAGACAGTTGTCTTTATCAATGGTCACATGGGGAAAAATGACCCCCTCCAGCCCTCAGAGCAGCTGAAGTCACTGTGAGGCCGGAGAAACTCAGCATGCTGGGAGTCTAAAAGGGTCCATTATCTTACAGAATGCAGCGGTAATACCAGAGGATGCCATTATCATAATCTTGACACTGGTGAGAAATGCAGAGCGAGCGTACGGAGGCTGTAACCCACTTAGATGAGTGTGATGGCAGAAGTGTGTAGGCCACAAGTGTTTATGGAGAGGAGGTTATTGTGGTATGAATGTCTGGTAGCAGACTGGCAAAAAACACCTTTTAAAATGTATTATTAAAGGCATCACGTCTTACCTAGTCTGCCCAGTAGAGTTTGTCCAATGTCTTTGATGTCATTGTATTCATGCAGCAGGTCGATGTGCTGATCCAGCTCTTGTACAACAAATCCTCTACAAACAAAACCACACAGCAACGCTAGCTCAGTTTAATCTGCCAGTAAACCAATAGTGGGACAATAATGCAACTAAAAATAAGCAATCTTAAAATGGACATATTTTACATTTAAGATATTTTTTAGCTATTATCTTAAAAGGAAACAAAACTAAATATATACAAAAAACCTGCTATCATAAAAGGTCCCATGAAATTAAAATAAACTTTTTAGATGTTAGTATCAGTATTGTTAGCTTGTTGGATATCTATAAGCTAATGTGCTCCAAAACAGTGCCAAAATTCGCATTTAGAAGATATAAAACTGATATAAACATGTAAAGCATAGATCTCAAACTCAATTCCTGTAGGGCCGCAGCTCTGCACAGTTTTGCTCCAACCATAATCAAACACAGCTGATCCAGTGTTCAAAAAAGTCCTGAACACTTTGATTAGTTGCATTAGCTGTGTTAGATTAGGATTGGAGCAAAACTGTTCAGAGCTGTGGCCCTCAAGGCATTGAGTTTGAGATCTATCATGTAAAGCTTCTGCCTGAAGCTGCGGTCACACTGCACTTTTCTCCTCATAGACTTCCATTCATACGCATGCGAATGAGTCAGACCGGAAACGCAAGCACCTACGACAGGTTTTCCAGGTTGCTGCAATGCAGAGTTTAAGCTTGATGAACTCTGACTTGCGAAATACCATCACTTGACTACATGAGACCAACTGAGGATCAAAACATGACCTCTCTGTACAGGAATTTAAAATATGGACCAATCACTCACTTTTTTAATGTCTAATCATCTTGTTCAATCCCACCCCTTTTCGCAGAGCCGTATGACATAATTTTGTAAGCTCAAACTCAAGTGTGACTGCGGCATAAATGGATTTTTTTTTCATGTCACCCCATACTTCAGTTTTTCATCAAATCACGACCAATCAAATGCTCTCTAGAGTCTGATATGTCCCTTCCCTCTTAAGACGCTTCACATTTGATGCGCTTGAGCTCAATCACTCTCACTGGCAAAGCGGTGATAAACCAAAAGGCTATTGACTGTTTTATAAAAAGGGGAGGAGCTACACTATGTCCCGCCCTGCAAATTTAAATGCACATTTAAAAGCACTTCATGGGACCTTTAAAGTCCCCATGAACCAGAAAGATGCAATAATTTTTTTTTTCTTATTGTGACGCAGAGAAACAGAATATTAAATGCGTAAAGAGTAGGTGTGTTTTTTCTACTACTGGCTGATCGGATATAGTAAAGTAGGCATTTCATTCAGAAAGATCAGGAAAAGAGTTATTACAAACAAACAGACTCCTCCTCCTCCTCCTCACCATTTCTGTTTGTTGTCAAAACTGACAGCTTGGTTAAATATGTAAGCTATGGCTAATTCCTAAGATAAACGTAATAGACCCTTTTCACACTTCCGGGCTTCTCAGTAGAGGAAGTCATCATAGTTGGGAAAACTTAGAGCGCAGTGAATGGGAGAATTCAACAAATAATTTTTTTTACAATCTTATTTGCTTAAATAATAAAAGAAAAACGCCACGATGATGTTATAAAGACTTTCAGACAGAGGAAAAAAATTGCGTGAGACTGATGACGGCAGTCAGAGGAGTGAATAACGTCAAATTTGCTGTCCTGTCTCATAGACGCTGCATTAAAACCCCCTCGCACAAGCGGTAATTAGTTTTTTTGTCATTTGAAGCAAAGATGATATACTACATACATAAATACATGTAAATTTTCATACATTTAAAAAAAAATAAAACTATTAAAAGATTTTAAGATGCTGATGACCGTTAAACGCGTCATAACAGGCTTGTGAAAAGGGTCCATCTGACAATTTAATTGAAAAATAAAAGCATTTTTAGATTTCAATTAAAGATTAAAAAGGCCAATTTTTTTTCTTAATGACATGCATAGATGAATTGTTCACCACAAAACTAGATACAAAAATTCACAAAATCATATGCTTAGTTTTGACTTCTTAGCCACTTTAAGAACACTTGAAATAAAGAACATTTTAAGCTAGGGATAGTTCACAGACAATATACATTTGCTGTTAATTCACTCAGGCCATCCAATATGTACAGTAAAGCAAGCAGTTTTTTATTCAGCAGAACAATTTTTTATTTCTTGCTTAAATTGTGGTTCTTTGCCATTTAAAATTCATGATACATGTATATACACACACACACACACACACACACACACA